GTTTGACGCTGCGGTTTCCGTTCTTTTTCCTCTATGCTCCGTTCTCCGCGGTTTCTAATCGCTGTTTTTTTTTTTAAGTTCACGGATTCAGTGCTGACTGCCATCGGCCAAGGCACGTTTTCTCCCGACAAGTGTCCCAAGACAACGGACCGCGGCCTCCTCCTGTAAGAGGACGAATTCGGTGGATGAACGACCGAATCTCCGTAGCCTCTGCTTTCCTTTCGTTTTGTCAACCGTTTTCTGGTAGAGCAGGGTCTAGGGCTCGAGCGCGGTCCAGGGCTCCAACATGACCAAGTGCTTGATGAAGGTTAAGGCTGGAACACCGTCCAGCGCTCTAACGCGACCTGGTGCTCGACCGTTCATGTGCGCATGACGGTCAAGTGCTCAAACACTGTCCAGTGCTGACACAGGACCAAGTGCTGGAACACCAGCAAGTGCTGGAACAGGTTCAAATGCCCGATGACGGTCCAGTGCGCCGACATGAAAACGACCAAGTGCTCGATCAGGACCAAGGTCTCGAAACACCGTCCAGTGCTCCAACACGACCCATGGAGTTCAAGTGCTGGAAGATGGTCAAGTGCTCGAACACGACCACGACCGTGTGCAGGAGCAGCGTCCAGTGCTGAAACACGTCCAAGTGCTGGATAAAGGTCAAGTGCTCAAAAACCGCCCAGTGCTCTAACGCGACCAAGTGCCCCGAGTATGACCAAGTGCTCGAATACGACCAAGTGCTTGAAGATCCAGGCAATAGACGTTTTAAGATGGCCAAGTTTACCAATTTTTCCGTCCCCGCCCCCCTGGAGGACTACAAATACCCAGGGCCTGAGCCTGCAGAAGAATCTGCAGCCCGCACTGTGCACAGGCTTCTGACCTCCTGCTGCAGGTGCTGCAAGAGCGATGGAGCCGACTTTCTGGTCCGTGCACGTGAAGCAGGCCTGGGATTCCCCCCCGGTGGCGCCAGAGACCGAACCTCTGCTCCCCGTCTTCTCGGAAGAACGTGGGCCTTGTCCTCTTCCTTTCCGGTCCTAGGAGTGATCCTGTCCGACAGAGGTGACGATCTCGAGCAACCGCTTCCATGTCTCCAGGGTGACTTCGAAGGAGTCATTTGAGAGGACCGAGTCTTCCAGCGAGCCTGAAATCCGCGGGCCTTCCACGAGGGACTCGACCAAACCTCGACCCCGGCAAGCGTGGAGGACTCCGACCTAGAACCTTTCCCAGAGGCGGAGCAGCCTCGGCCCTGGTCCAGAGCGCCCCACCGTGGCCAGGAATCGCGGGACACCGAGACCACGGAGAGGAGAAGCCCTGGGGAGTGTCACCCGCCCACCACTGGAGACCTGAGGGGAGGATCGCGGGTTTTGTGCGCCCTCTGGCGGCGCATTCGTTGCGTGTTCCACTGCTGCGTGCCACGTGGCTGCTGCAAACCGGAACGTGGCAGCAGGGAGCCTTAGGGAGCTGCAGGCGCCTTTCAGCGTTTTAGAGTGCGCTCTGTGCCAAGAGAATGCCAGCCAAAACCTCTTCCTTCCTCGCAGCCCGAAGTCTTCTGGGCCGCCGGCTGCTTCCAAGATAAATTCCTACATCCACGTGCCTCATATGGTCAGTGTCAATTCTTGCTTGCTTAATAAATGATTCCAAAGGTAATTAATTTAATGGGCTGCAAGCGCCAGCTTTCAAAGCTACTTGGTGACACTCTGGGGGCGCTGTTTCTAGGCTTGGTGGAGAAGCTGGTGTGGGGACCACCGAGGTTAGTCCACCAGCCTTCACGAGGACAGGGTGGGTGGGGTGCCCTCGATTCGTCCAGGCAGCCAATATTGGTTCGACTGTCAGCAGGCCGGGCTGCAATCCGACCGAACGCGATCTCAAACCGTGTCTGTGATTTTGTGCCTCGGTTCTTTGGCTTTGCAGGCGGAATTCGGCTCAGCCAGGCAGGATGTGGCCACATTCGACACTAACCACGAACCCATTTCGCGTGAGGGAAACCTTGGAGGAAACGTTTGGCGCCATGGTGCGCGTGTTCACCCGACTGAGTTAGACGCTGCGGTTTTCGTTCTTTTTCCTCTAAGTTTCTAATCGCTGAAACTTGGATCCCCCCCTCCCCCCCCGTTAGCGGATTCAGGGTCTACTGCCATCTCCAAGTCAGGTTTTCTCCGGACAAGTGTCCCAAGATATCCGACCCCAGCTTCCTGAAAGAGGACGAATTCGGTGTATGGACAACAGAATCTTCGTAGCCACCGCTTTCCTTTGGTTTTCTTAAGGGTTTTAGGGTACAGCACGGGCCAGGGCTGGAGCCCGGTCCACTCAAACACAACCAAGTGCTCCATGACGGTCTAAGGCTCAAGTGCAGCACTGATTCCTAATCCTTAGCCCTCTGGCCATCAGGGCAAGACACCGGACACCGCAGGCCTCGGTGCATCTCTCTCACACCACAGAGTCTGCGCCACTGGGCGGTTATGCCACAGGCCCTAAGGCGCCTTTCGACTCCCAGTTGCGGTGAGGAGGCTGCAGTTTCCATTCGTTTTCGGGTCCCCTTCGTTTGGTCGTTGTCTTTTCTAACGCTGGAAGTTCGTCCGATTTCTGTTTTTACGGATTTCGAACCGATGCAAGTTTTCCCCCTGAGCAAATGTCCCAAGACATCAGACACCGGCTTCCTGAAAGAGGACGAATTCCGTGTATGGACGAACGAATCTCCGTAGCCTCTGCTTCCGTTTCGTTTTGTCAACGTTTTTCGGGTACAACACGGCCCAGGGCTTGAGCGCGGTCTTGTACTGGAACAGGACCAAGTACTCCATGACGGTTAAGTGCTGGAACACCGTCCAGCGCTCTAACCCGACCAAGTGCTCCATACCGATCATGTGCGGATAACGGTCAAGTGCTCAAACACTGTCCAGTGCTGGAACAGGACCAAGTGCTGGAACACCACCAAGTGCTCGAACAGGTTCAAATGTTAATGACGGTCCAGTACTCAAACACGAAAACGACCAAGTGTTTGTTCACCACCAAGTGCTCCAAACACCGCCCAGTGCTCCAACACGACCCATGAAGGTCAAGTGCTGGATGACGGTCAAGTACTGGAACAGGACCACGACCAAGTGCAGGAACATCGTCCAGTGCTGAAACACGTCCAAGTCCTCCATAAAGGTCAAGTGCTCAAAACACCGTCCAGTGCTCTAACGCGACCAAGTGCTTGAAGATCTAGGCAATAGACGTTTTAACCCGCACAAGTTCACCAATTTTTCCTCCCCCAACCCTTCCCCCTCCCCCTGGAAGACTACAAATACCCAGGGACTGGGCCTGCAGAAGAATCTGCTGCCTGCACTGTGCACAGGCTGCTGACCTCCAGGTGCAAGGGCTGTTGGAGGGATGGAGCCGACTTCCTAGTCCCTGCCTGTGAAGCAGGCCTGGGATTCCGCCCCGGTGGCGCCAGAGACCGAACCTCCTCTGCTTCTGGTCTTCTCAGAAGAACTTGGGCCTTGGCCTCTTCCTTTTTATCCCGGCCTAGCAGTGATCTTCTCCGACAGAGGTGATGATCTCCAGCAGTGGCTTTAATGTTTCCAGGGTGACTTGGAAGGATCCTTTGGGAGGACGGACTCTTCCAGCGAGCCGGAAATCCGCGGACCTTCCACGAGGGACTCGAGCAACCATCGACCCCAGCAAGAGTGGAGGACTCTGACCTAGAACCGGTCCCTGAGGCAGAGCAGCACTGACCCTGGTCCAGATCGAGGCCATGAATCGCGGGACACCAAGAGCACAGAAAGGAGAAGCCCTGGGGAGTGGGAGCCTCCTACCACCTGAGATGTGAGATCCTTAATTATCTTGGCCTCTGGGCTCCAGGCAGTTTCTTGATTCACTGGAATTTATTTGGCTTGGCTGTCAGTACCTCCTGGAGTATTTGATGTTTTCAGCTCTGTAATTGATGAACGCTCTGTTAGGTTTCTATTTGCTTTCGTGACTTTTAATGGTGTAACACACATAGTGCTGTACCGGGGTACTATATCCAGTTTCTAGTAACATTTATATTTTTGTTAGAATATTTTCCCTTCTCTTTCCTCCTTGCAAATCCTCCCAGCCCAGCTCTTTTTCAAATTCCTAGGTAATTTTTCATTGATGTTTTTGCATGAACATTTTTGTATTTAAAGATATTACTAAATCTTCCCTGAATTACATTTTTTTAATGGTATGGTTCACATAACACTGTAACCCTTCTATGTGCCTTTACAGTTTTAATCTTGTAACTCTGGTAACACTGTAACAGTTCTCTATGCTTGATTACAGTTTTAGTGCTATAACTCAAATAATGCTGCCTCTTGGTTGTATGTGTATTTACCTGGTTTTCGTCAAATCTGCTGCCGTTGTTTTCAGTTTGCATTTTACCCCTCTCAGTTTTATCTCCATGGATTTCTGAGTAACACTTGCATGCCCAATGTTCTTGAAGGCAGAGAATCCACATATGCCAGATACTTCAATAATGATGTAACCTTATTTACAAGAGCTAAGTGATATAACCAAGGAAAGTATCCAGCGAAGAGAGATCGAGTAAAGAGTGTGTGGGGAACAGACTTGAAAGGATTATTGTCCTTCACCAAGAAGAATGACATCATCTGGTCTGCAGAAACATGCATGCATCTGGAGAGAATCACACCAAGTGGGTGACCAAGTGTCCAGATGACAGATATGCAGTGTCTCTCATTGGTGGAGCCTAGGTATGGCAGATACATCAGACTGTTTAGTTCCTATCACAAGTCAGAGCAACACACATTTACAGCATACAGAAAGACATCCCCAGCACTTCCCCCCTTCTTTTTTCAAAAAGAAAATTTTAACTCTAACATAGTAAAATTACATATAGCAAAACTATTATCAAGTAAGAATTATAGTTACAATATTTATTTATAATATCTTGTTTATTTGTATTTGGCAAAATTAAAGAAGATATCCTATCTATCCTATAATTGCGAGTCTAAGGTTTCATATCTAACTTATCTTTTGTCATAACTAAGGAAATTATAACTCTCTAATCTTCAACTACATCAAAGACTCAGAAGAATATGATATTACCTGAGAAATGGGAGAAGGACGTAAGCAACTTTTGGGAGTCTTGTGAGAGTAGGCAGAGACAGCTGGCAACCTGGACAGGCATCCAAAGTTCCTCTGTAAAGTTGGGGCATCTGTCTTTAGCCCACAGGCTTAGAGTCTCTCAGTCACTTCTCTCTATGTTCTGTAGAATGTCTGGCAGTTTCCTCTACAAAGCAGGAACCTGAAGGACCATTTTGCCAAGCAAAGTTCAGTGGTCATCTTCCTATGGGTCCTGTATGTCCCGTTAATACATTTGTTCAAGCAGTCCAGGCAAGAACAGATTCATTTCCAAATGGCTATTTTTGCCAAGAAGAAGATAAACTCCATATAGTGTATCTTCGATGCCCATCCTCCTCTCTGATGTAAATCAGTGCTGTCAGGAGCAGACATGTCTCACTGTCCAGAAAGTCTAAATTTTTAAAATATTTTAAATGCCATGTTCTGTAGGTCTTTGAAGTGTTTGAAGATTACCCACCTAATTGAATTATATCTATGTATACCTAGAAAACTTAACATGACTGTAAGTTTGACTATAATAGAAGACTAATTATTAATCTGTATTTTTAATAATCCATTACAATCTAAATTAGTTGCATAAAGATAATACCTCAAATGAGAGTAGAAATATATATATATATATACATATATATATATATATATATATGCAGTATAACAAAATTAAAATTAAGGTGTTGCAGATTTAGCTCAGTGGTAGAGAGCTTGCTGGCAAATGCAAGGCCCTGGGTTTGGTCTTCAGCTCTGAAAAAATAAATAAATTTAAACTTGTATCAATAAACTAAAATCCATAGCAATGTAAAACATTTCTAAACCAGTTGTTGCTCTTTAAAAGTAGGTTCATTAATCTACCCTTCCATCCTATCTTATCTATAAGGTCCCCTTTACTTTTTCAGAAAGAGATCACATTTATAATCAACCTGATTTAATAAAAATATTAGTTTTCCTCTGCCCCACACCAGAGGGCTCTTCTGATATGGGATAGAGGAATTTCTCAACCTTTTGTTTTAGCAGTAGGCTTGGGTTTAGAGAAGGAGTGAGCCAACACACATGTATACACACATAAACACACATACATACACATATAAATACACATGTATACACACACAAACACACATGTATACACATTTAAACACACATGTATACACACATAAACACACATGTATACACACCTAAACACACATGTATACACACAATAATAATACATATATTTGGCAAATCAGAAAAGAGTCCATTACCATTCGGATACATAGAAGGGAAAATAGGAAGAGAGAAAGACAGGGAAATAAAACAATTAAATTCTAATTAAAAAATACAAATATTTTCAAAACCAATCTTTTTAGCCAAGCATGATGGCACACAGTTTTAATTCAAGCATCCTCGAAGCAGTAGTTAGTTCCAGGACATCCAGGGCTATGTAAAGAGACACTTTCTCAATCATTAAAATAAAACCACATTCTTTTTAATTCAGACTCAGTCTTTTAACTAAAACCAGATCTTTAAATAAATGCTGGGCACTATTAAAAGGAAGTGTTTTCCCACCAAGATCCGACCTTTTGAGTGAATATTAATTCTTTAAATGAAGTTCCATCCTCTTCCTAGAAAGTCTGTCTTTTCTTTATAGGCCGTTCTTGTAATAAAATGTTCATTTCATGAGAGTTGGTCTTTTAAAGGTAGTGTCCATAAATTGAAGAAAAGTAGTTTCTAAGTGCCTCAAACACTAGGTGTCAATAAGTTTCCTCTGCTTGCACAGACATAGAGCTTTTTTTTTTTAACCAAAATGTAATGTTTTCTGAAGTTTGTAAAACTGGAAAAAATAAAAGGGGGCATATCCATCCAAGGAGATGACAGAAGTTATAATTATAAACCATATATATTTTAGTAATAAAGCTTCAAAATCACTTTAAGGTAGAAAACAATCATTTTCAGTGAAAATTTGTCCTAAAATAAAGGACTCTCCCAAAGAGGAACAAATGTAAGGCACACCAAATCATTAACTACGTCACTAAAAAGTTTATAAAATTTAAACTTAAATGTGAGTCTTTCAACACTTACCTGAGACCAGTGTTCAATATTTACACCACAAGAATTACTTAGTTTCTACAAGGATCAGGCTCCTGAGTCAGAAACTGGGTCTCCCCTGCGATGAGAATCTGTGGGCATTTAAGCTGAGTCTATGCTCTAGTTCCCATTTGAACGCTCAGTTGCCATCCTTCCCCTGGCACCCAAAATGAGAAGGGAGAACATAAAGGAGAAAAAGACAGGTGACCCAGGAGAAGCGCTCTCTCTCTCTCTCTCTCTCTCTCTCTCTCTCTCTCTCTCTCTCTCTCTCTCTCTCTCCTCTCTCTCTCTCTCTGGGGAAGGACCGAGTGGTAAGATAAGGTGGTCTTAGCTCTTGGCTACTGCTCTCATCTCTGGGCTTTCATCTCTTTATTTGGCTCTGTGTTTCATATATAATAAGACCTTTTAGAATTTCATCTACACTGGCATAGCCTGGCCTGTGGGTCACCAGAGACCTCCAGGTCAGGATGCACCTGGAGTGTGGTTGCTGAGACAGAAGGAGACCTGATTCAGGCTGACAGAGTACAAGGATGTTGCTCTTGGCTTGCTCTTGGTCCCACTGTCCCGTTTCTGTATTCCCTGCTAAGGATGGCTTCAGTCTGGAAATGACGTTCGCCAGGCCTGAAGATCAAAGACTCCTTGTCCCCAGGTACCCAAAGACTCCAGGTTTCTGGCAGCTACAAACTGAGAAGCCTGGGCAGCAAAGCCAGGCCAGGGACCTCTGGGTGGGGCAGATTTCTGCTGCAAATGACCACTGGTAGCTCCTGGGTTTTGCCTAAGATTTTTCCATTTTTCTTAGAGTAGGAGTTGCACTTACCCTTGGCTGAAGCAAAGCAGTTTTCAGGTGCCAGGGGTCATCAGAGCCTAGGGATGCTCTCTCTACTTCTCAGTGTGTTTTTAGCATGGTGCTAGCCTTGGCAGAGGGGCTGCTGAGGAACTTGGTCCTGAAAGTCAGGTCCTTCCAGGTCAGTGGTAGGCCTGATTTGCCTACAGCATCCCAGTGCTAGGCTGCCAGCCCAGTCCGTTCTGCAGTGATGCACAGAAGCCCCATCCTCTGCACACCCTTTTATACATCTCAGCCCTGGCCTGTCCCCAGTTTCTTTCTTCAGCTGCTGACTGAGTCACCATTTCCTGTTCGCAGAAACGTTGACTCAGTTTTTTCCGCAATGAGACAGCTGAAATCTTTTTCTCTGACTTTTTGACACAGGGATGGGTTTGGCAAACAAGGACTTGCCAATAGTTAGCAGTATCTGCCTGCTCATCGCTGGGTAGACTGTTAAAATGCAGAGGGAACTTGTGAGGGAAGTCAGCCAGATGTTAGATCTCCTGGAACAGTCCTTAGCCCAGTGCTCTCCTGCCAATGGCCGCTGCCCCACAATTGCTGACCTCAGGGAGCCATGGAGAACAGGAGGCACCTCTAGGCTACTGCTTCCTGTAAGCATGCTTCCTTACTGAATGCCTTCCTTTTCCAACTGAAAACTCACTCCACCTGCCTCTCCTGTCCCTGCTCAATGTCTAGTTTATTTTATGCTTAAAATGTTATTTACAGAGCAGAGCTGAGTATGAGATGCAGACCTGTAATCCCAATGCTCCTCCTTCAGAGGAAGAGGGACCGTGGTGGGAAATTCCAGGCCAGTCATGCAATACAACAAGGTCAGGCCAGCATTGGCCACTGAAACATAATCTGTGGAATGTGGGGGCCCACAAGTGACTTGGTCTGAATCTGGAGTCCATTCTGACATTCCACATCAGTGGAAATTTTCTTGAACATTGCAATTCATGTGGAATCACAAAGGACCCAAGATGGCTGCTTAGTTCACTCTCGTGTGGGGCTCCTA